CCATGCGGGGATGCCCAAGTGCCCCCGGCGCTCCTGCCGAGAAGACAGAGTAGTTCCTCTGCCAGTTATGGCAACGGTTGGACCCAAGCCTACTGGGCCAGGCGCAGGATGGCAGGTCTTAGAGGCAAAGCACGGGCAAAGGTGGGCCTCCTTTGGGGAGGAGAACAGGAGAATGCCAGCGGAGGCAGCCACGGGCCTCCAGGGTTTCAGTAGCCCTCGGCTGTCTTAGGTCAAAATTTGGGGGTGAGTAGGAAAGCTTGCCCTGGGGGACTGAAGAAAGACTAGGAGCTGGAGTAAAACAACCTCGCTCCAGTCTGCGCTCCCGTCTGAGTAGCTTCTATTACATTTCTTCACACGTACACACCGCAGTCAGGTCAGCCACTGTAGTAATGGACATTTGGGGTGATTTCCCATCGGGGCTACTGTCCGTAAAGCTGCTAAGACCAGCCTAGTACAAGCTTTTTGTTTTCCTTTCTTTCGGGTCAATACAGAAGTGAAATGTCTGAGTCATTAGGTAGGTTGATGTATAGTTTTTGTTTTTAAGATTTTATTTATCTTTAGAGGGGAAGGGAAGGAGAGAGGGAGAGAAATATCAATGTATGGTTGCCTCTCATGCGCCCCCTGCTGGGAACTGGCGTGCAACCCAGGCATATGCCCTGACTGGGATCTGAACTGGGATCCTCTGGTTCGCAAGCCCGCACTCAATCCACTGAGCTACACCAGCCAGGGTAATGTATAGTTTTTTAAGTCATTTTGTTGTGGTGGTAAAATATGCATCACCACTGTCCTTCTCCAGAACTTTTTCATCTTCCCAAGCTGCAAAACTGTACCCATTCAACAACACCTCTCCATTCCCCTTCCCCTCGGCCCCTGGTGACCACCATCCTACTTTCTGTCTCTATAAAGGTGAGCATTCTAGGCCAAACAAGTGGAATCACACGATATCTGTCCTTTTGTGTCTGGCTTGTTTCAGTTAGCATATCGTTTTCAAGGCTTATTTATGTTTTGTGTCAAAATTTCATTTATTTTCAGGGCTGAGTAGTATTCCACTGTGCATATACATCCCACTTTGTTTATCCATTTATTAGTCAGTGGTCACTAGGTTGCTTCTCCATTCCGACTATTGTGAATAATACTACTGTGAATCGAGTACACACAAGTCTGCTCATTTCCTGCTTTCATTTCTCTTAAACACATCCTCAGAAGTGGAATTGCTGAGTCATATGGTAATTCTGTTTAACTTTTTGAGGAAATACCATTCTGTTTTTCACAGAAGCTGTACCATTTTTATATCCCTCCCAGGAGTGCCTCCACTCCCTTACCAATACTTGTTTTTTGTTTGGGAGTTTTTTACTAATAGTCATCCTAATGGGTGTGGAGTAGTATCTCATTGTGGTTCCGATTGGCATTTCCCTAGTAATTTGTGATACTGAGCATCTTTTCATGAGCTTATTGGCTGTTCGTGTATCTTCTTTGGAGAAATGCCTATTTAAATCCTTTGCCTATTTTTAAATTTTGTTGTTTAGTTTGGAGAATACTTTATATATTCTGGATATTAATTCCTTACTAGATATATAATTTCCAAACATTTCCCCCCATTTCTTGGGTTGCCTTTTCACTCTCTTGGTTGTATCCTTTGATGCACAAGTTTTTAATTTTGATGAAGTTCTATGTTTAGTTTTACAGAAAACTGCCAGCCTCTTATTTCCAAAGTAGTTGTGCCACTTGATACTGACAACAGCAATATAGAGTGTTCCAATTGCTCTACATCTTTGCCAACACTTGGTATTGTCAGTCTTGTTAATTCTAGCCATTATGCTGAGTATATAAATAATATCTAATTGTAGATACATTCATATCTTTTTGATGACTGATGGTGTTGAGCACTGACTATTTGTATATCTTCGTGAACTACTTGTTCAAATCTTTAGCCCACTGTTTTGTCGGGGGGGGGGTTCAGTTTATCTTTTTTTGGCTTTTGATTATATTTTGTTAAATTTTAAGATTGGCTGATATTTCCCAGTTTCCTTATCTTTAGGTAGCAGGTATGAATTCCTCCATGACACCTGGGCTATAAGAAATGCCAGGCTCAGCTATCGTCCACAGTACCTGAAGTCATAAAAGCACACTTATGAGAAAGTATATCCACTCCCATTCAAGGCATAGGGGTCCATGCCAGGAAGAATGAGGGGGGCACAGGATGTTGGGGCTTGAGGGGTGGGGCAGTGGGGAGTGTCTAACAGTGTCATTTGCAGTGGGGTTGTATTCAGTGGCCCTGGCAAGGAACGGAGAGGTCACCCAGGAGAGACTAGGAGTACCCATCCCAGAGGACCAGCTGCTGAGATATCCTACTTGGTGGCAGCTCTTAACTGCCCCCCCACTCCGAAAATAACACGGAGTGCAACCCGTGCCTCTTCCCCTCAGTGGACTGTGTCACAAAGAATGTCACAAAGAATTATTAAACATTTGAGTGAACCCAATATCATCAAAGAGAGAAAAGCCAGAACCTTTCCCAGACTCCCTTGAGGTTAGGTGAGACCGTTGACTCGGTTTCAGCCAATGGAAAGTGAACAGAAGTGTGTGCACCACTTCTGGCCTGGTCTGGCTTTTAAGCATCTCCACTCTCTCTTTTCCTCTTTCTGCCAGCTTGTCTCCTGGGCCTGGGTACTCCCAGCTTCTTCTGGGAGATCCCAGCCACCTCAGGTGCTGCCCTGTGTCTCTGCTCTAAACTCCCACATCCCATCATAGCTGCCTGGGTTACAGCGGAGGTGCATAGGGGACAATGCTAACCTGCTCCCACTTCGGTGGCCCAACTAGTTACCCTAGCAGTCGTTCCTGGATCTCTTCCCACGTCTTCATCCCCTTCGGGACTGGAGCATCCTAATGGCTGCCCCAGTATCCATAGAAAGACTCACTTCTTGGCTTCTCTAAGTATCGTGGGCTGAGATTTCCTTCAGTCTAATTTTGCCTTCTTTTAGTCACTCCTTGCAAAGTGATGTTAGAAGTGACATGATGGAGGAGATAAGATTCCGTGTCGACTTCTGTCAAATTAGATGCCTACGTGTGCAGGGCAATTCTGCATCCCCACTGCATGACGTAGGAATGAGAAGTGAACTTTCTTTCATGTGTTAAACTACTGAGGTTGCGGTGGACTTTTTTCCTGTTACAGCAGTTGATATTATCTTCACTAACAGAAACTTTACAGTTTCCTTGAAGAAATTAAGGAAGAGTATCACATCCATGAAATGAAGATAGCCAGTCGAAGGAAGGAACCAATTAAAGAATCTGTAAATAAAAATTTGAAACCATGGCCTGGCCAAGAGGCTCAGCTGGGTGAAGTGTTATCCGTACACCAAGAAGCCGGGGGTTCGATTTCTGGTCAGGGCACATACCTACATTGTGGGTTTGATTCCCGGTTGGGGTGTGTACCTGGGGCAACCAATCAATGTTTCCCATGTTGATGTTTCTCTCTCTTTAAAATTAATAAACTCGGCCCTGGCTGGGCAGCTTAGTTGGTTAGAGCATTGTACCAATACACCAAGGTTGTGGGTTCAATCCTCTGTCAGGGCACATACAAGAATCTCTCTCCCTTCTTCCCTAAAATCAATAAATAAAAATTTGGAAAAAAAAAAGTAGTAAACAGCCCTGGCTGGTGTGGCTCAGTGGATTGGGTGCCAGACTGCAAATCAGCGGGTCGCTGGTTCAGTTCCCAGTCTAGGACACATGCCTGGGTTGCGGGTCACATCCCAGTAGGGAGCTCGCAGGAAGCAACTGCACATTGATGTTTCTCACCCTCCTTCTCCCTGCCTTCCCCTCTCTAAAAATAAATAAAATCTAAAATAAGTAACTAAATAAACATATCCTCCAGTGAAGATTAAAAATACCAAACCATTGAAATTTGAAACCCAGGAGATGAGATGAATCTGATTACATCAACTCAATTTGAAAGAAAGGAAGAATTAAAAAACAGTGAGCTGAAAGGTTAGGCAAAAGAATATCCCCAGAACGCAGTCAAACAGTGCCTCAAACCCAAGTTAGGAGGCTTGCCAACTGAGCAGACTCGGTCATTCATTTATGCAGCACAAACCAGAGGGCAGATGTGACGGTGACTATACAGCAAATTATTTAGCTTGTGTTTAGGATTCATCTGGATAAATTCAGACCCCAAACGATTCATGTTATTTGACTAGGTAGATTAAAATACAGAGCGACTATCGTTCTTCCCTTGGTACCACGTAACAGAACGTCTGCTGGTCTGAAATCATTCATTTTTCCTTTGAGTGTGAATTCGTTCATGCCTTTATCCACCCGCCCACCCATTCATCCATTTAACGAATATCCAAACCTAACAAACACACTCTAGATCCCTGGAGTTTCGTGTGTCACTGTTTACATCTCGCTGATTACTTATAAATGAGAAAGATGAAAAACTCTGGTCTGAGTTATTTTGGTGCCAAACAATATTCTAGAAAGAAATGCTCAGCTAAACCGTTTTAAGTAAACAAACTAAAAATTGAAAGGAGGGAGAAAGGAGAAAGGGGGTGGGAGTCTGGAGAGGAAACTGGGGGGTCTGTCCAAGCAGAGTGGTGTGGGAATCTTGTTTCCTGTCCGGGTTTTGATTTGCGGGGGAGAGTTCCGGGTCTGCGGGCGCTGAGAACACCAGCCCACCCACCCCACGCAGCAGGGAGGGGACAAGATGGGCTGGGGGTGGGGGCAGAAGTTGGAGGAGTTTCCAATTTCTTGAGCTCCATAATCTGGATTCCGGTATCCGAGCCTGAGTTTTTTCCTTCTCCCCCGCCTACCAGCTCCCCCCACCCTTCTCCAGCACATGCACGCAATTTTCCCCAAAGCTAGGAGTTAAGAAGAAAGAGGAGCAAGCAGGTGTCGATTGTCTTTCCCCCTCCCCCGCACACCAACCAGCCCTTTTTCTTCACACCCACACACCCGGTGCCCCGTCTTCCTGAGCCCCCAGGGTAAAGAGTTAGCGCCCTCACAGGAGCTGCACATTTAGCACAGGTTTGTCCGCCCTCCCCAGCCCCTGGCCCCGGGGTTCCTGCGGCAAGGACCCCGTGGGCCCGTTCTTCATCTGCGAAGCTCCTCGCTGCATTGTCGTGGGCCTCTGTCCTTAAGCCACGGAAGGAGTTCCGAACAGCTCCAGGCACCTTATCCGTGTCTGCCTCCTCTGGCGAATGTAAGCGAGGGGACCGTGCGCTCCAGCCGAGCCCGGAGGGTAGCTGTCGTGCGCCGGGGACCCTGCAGCACTGCGCCCACTGCGGCTCCTGGCGCCCCTGCCGGACCTGGGGACTCTGGCCTGACTCCGTCCTTGTAACAAGACAGCGGACCACACGAATCGGGCCCGTGGCGGCCGCTGTACAACCCTGGGTGGCTGCGGAGACATTCCCATTTTTCGGACGAGGACACAAGCTTTACTCCAGTGCCAGCACTCTTGGACGCAGAGGCTCAGGGGTTCAAGCTGCCTGCCCCCCACCACAGTATTTCTCTGGGGCCCTCCTGGGGCCCAGGTGGAAAGTCTGGCGACAAAGGACCAGGAAGGTTCTCGATCCAGAGTTCCAGGCCTCTCTCAGGTTCCCAACCCCTGCACGGGTGTGAGGGGCACCTCCCCACGATGTCCAGTGGGGCCAAGCCGGTACCCGGGCATGGGGGTCACGGGGGCAGCAGTACCAGGGCTCTCTGATTGCAGGCTGACAGGGGCAACCGCGCGGGTCCCCAGCCACTGCCCCCACGGTGTCCTGGGGGTTGCCCCGCCCTTTGACCCCCGTGATGCTGATTAACGAGGCAGCCAATAGGTGAGTAGGCGGAACCGCGCCTCTCCGGAGGCCCCCAGAACACAGCTGGGAGCACAGCTCGCCGGATGGCCATGCAGCGTCCCGTGAGAGTGAGGACTTGGGTGGCGGAGAACCGGGCCTCCTTCCTGCCCCCCGTGTGCAACAAGCTCCTGTGAGTCCCAGGCACGCCTCCCTCCTCCTGCCCCCATCCTCACCTCCTCTTCTCTGTCTGCACCCCTCGACCCTCACCCTCCAGCTCCGAGTTCCTTGACCCAGAAGCCAGGGGGCTGCCATCCTCATGACGTCTTCAGGGGAGGAGAGAGGGCTGTTCCGGGTTCCAACGCCCTTGTTTTGTTCCTCTTTCCGGCAACTCTGGTGTGGAGGCTGTGACCTTGACCTCTGAGGACGGCTGGGTGAACTGAGGCTAGGAGAGATGCAGATGGCAGGTGGCAGCCCTTCCCGCCACCCCAAGGCTGAGAGAACGGCTCTCCAACCCCTAGGGACTCTCAGAAGTTTGGCCCCAGAACCGCAGCAGAGCCCGAGTCTGGGGATCACCTAATCATGCACCGGACTCTGTCCAAGAAGCCACCACAGGCTTATCGTGATTTATTGCTTTTCCTCTTCTCCTCTTCCCTGGCAGGCACATACACACTCACACTCATGCTCAGGGATGCACCTATTCTGTCTGTCTGTCTGTCTCTCTGTCTCCCAGCGGACCTGGCCGATCCAGCCAGTCTTTTTCCAGCAGACCTCTCAGGCCCTCCGGTCACTCCCTGCACTCCCCTGGGCTCCTTCCTCCAGGTTCACAGTCCCGCGTTAGTCCACGGAGCCTCTCTAACAAGGTGGCACCTCGAAGCACACAGTTACAGTCCCTAATACTTTGACAAGCCGGGGACTGTGCCAAGCACTCTTACATCATCTCATTTAATTCTCACAGTAGCCCCAGGAGGTGGGATTTTAATAAGTAACTTTCCCAGTAGCACGGGGTTAGGGTGGGACGAGGTCCTCACTCAAGCCCAGGGAAGGGTTTGACTCCATAGTCCGCACCCCCAGTCGCCGTGCACCACCACCGGGGCTAACAGGCAGCATCTACCCAAAGTCCTCGCCTCTTTCCCCACCTCGCCCCTGTCCACAGCCTCATTCCCAGTCCTCTAGTTTCTTCTCCGATGGTGTCTCATACCCACCTGCTCCTCTTCGGCCCCATGGCCAGTCTCTGGTTGCACCCCTGCCACCTCCGGCCTGAGCAGTGGGAGCTGCCCCACCTGCAGGCCTAGCCACCCAGCCCTCCAGCGCTTCCCCAGTATCAGTAGTCACGAAATGCAGCCCTCCCTTCCGTCACTCAGCAGATGTTCACCGAGCACCTGCTACTTGCCAGGCACTGTTCCAGGCACTAGCGATCTAGCAGGAAACCCTTCCTCAGGGAACTGACTTTCCGGTGGGAGGAGGCAGCCAATAAATACAAACGAACGGGGTGGAGGCCCAGGCAGCCCTGCGGGGCCCAGGGCCGGGGAGGGCCGTGCGCCAGCCCCTGGGTTGGCGGGGCCGTGAGGAGGCCCCGTTCCAGGCCCGTTTCCGCTCCTGGTGGTTTTAGTGGTGATCTTTGCATCCCTCGATCTTCTGCTGCATCACCGCCATCTCTGTCTCACTTCACATGGTGCTGTCCTGTTTGTCTGTGTCTAAATCTCCCTTTAAAAAAAAGATTTTATTTATTTTTAGAGCGGAAGGGAGGGAGAGAGGGAGAAACATCAGTGTGGGGTTGCCTCATGAGTGCCCCCTATGTGGGACCTGGTCCACAACCCAGGCATGTGCCCTGGCTGGGAGTTGAACCTGAGACCCTTTCGTTCACAGTCCGGCATGCAATCCACTCAGCCAAACCAGCCAGGGCAGGAGCTCCCTTTTTATGAGGACTCCAGTCATATTGGATTAGATGTCCACCCTACTCCAGTCAGACCTCACAGCAGCTTAACTAAGTACATCAGCAATGACCCTGTACCCAAATTAGGCCACATTCTGAGGTACTGGGGGTTAGAACACCGGTTTGGGAGTTTGAATTCATCCCTATGAATTTGGGGTGGTGGCAGGGATGGGGGAGCCCACATATGAAGCTGCTGGAAGGTTTTGAGCAGAGGAAGGTCATGGTCTGGCTCATGCACTCTGACGGAGGGGCTGAAATAGTTCTTGAGTGGGCTTATTCAAGAACTTTCCATATGTAGCTAGTTCAGTGATTTTTCAACTGCTGTGCCGCAAGAATTTTTACAACGTGCAACACCTGGCTGTTTAGTCAGGGGCACTGACCTCTTTCCCTTAGATTGTCAAATTTTAAAAAAAAGACAACCAACACAACAATAGCCGTCCTGTGTGAATGAATCAAAATTATACCTATTATTTGTTATATCAGCAAAAAATATAATGTATTTTTCATGCGCTGCAGAATTGTAGTGATTAGTTTATGCACATGAGATGAAAAGGGTTAGATCTCATAAAGATGACTAAAAGGAGAAAAACGCCTTCCTAGGCTCTCAGGCACCCCACAGGCCAAGACCGAAGTCCACAGCCAAACCGTTGAGGGCCGGGGTGACTTGTCCCCCATCCTGATCCAGCCTTTCTCCATCGCTCCCCAAGACCACTCCCACACCACCAGGACCCCCAGTGCTTCTGGCCTCAGGACCTCTGCACTGGTCTCTCCACTTCTTAAAGCAGGCGCCTCCCAGCTGTAGCCCAGCAGTTTGGGGGGAACAGAGTCTCATAGTCAGACATCTCTGTGGGGGCAGGAGGTAGACAAAGGCCGTTCTACCTCTACAGGAAGTGGAACCGCCAGCCTGCTCTCCTGTGTTTGGAGATCTGGAGTACAGCCTAGGGATCTGACTGATGAAGAGAGACATTCACCCACCACTGGGTCAGAGCATGCGGGCCACACACACAGAGGAACTAGACAAACACTCACATGCATCCACCAAGACACAGATGCAGAGAGACACAGGCATGCATACAGTCTCAGACACGCACAGACTCTTGGACATGCACGGGTACCCTGGGATGAGAGTGGAGGGGACAGACTTCAAAAACTGACCAGGCAGGTTGCAGAAACAGCCCCGTTGCCTCTCCCAGGTGTGCCCAGGCTCCCTCCAGGCCCCCCCACAGGCTGCTGCTGTTTTCTCCCATGAGCTGGTTCAGCGCCTCTCCCCTTTCCTCCATTGCAGGCATCAGGAGCAGCTCAAAGTCATGTTCATTGGGGGCCCCAACAACAGGAAGGACTACCACATCGAGGAGGGCGAGGAGGTAGGCATGCGGACTGCCCCTCCCCTGATGCAGCCCTGGGGCAGGGGGACACTCCCCGGCCAGGACCAGGAGGGCCTGTGGACAGGAGACATGGCTGATGAGTGAAGGGCACTCCACCAAGGTCACAGGCAGTAGCGTTGCCTGCGTGGGGTGGACGCCCAGTGGCACCTCTGACAGCTCCATCCTCAAAGAGCCCGCCTCTGCGAGCAGGAGAGGCTCTGGCTGTTGGCATCACCCCTGGACATAGGTGCTGTCCCTACTCCAGGTGGGAGGCCCTGGCCCCCTCCCTCCAAACCCAAACATGCAAGATTGGCATCCAAGGAAAACCAGACACTGAGAGGGACCTGGGTGCTCCATTCTGGTCCCAGGAACCAAGTTGTCCAGGAAGGGCTGGGGCTGGGAGGCCGCTCCTTATCTAGAGGGCACAAGACACATTAGCCACTAGTAGCTCCTGGGCATCGGGGGTGAGCCAGTTGGGAGAGAATATTTGTAATTTGCACTGAACACCCTTTTGAACTTTGAAAGGGTCTGTGTTGGTCTGTGTTTCTGTGCTACCCTCACCAAAGTAAATAACCAAGAGTGAAATAGAGGAAAAGATGGGCTGTCTTAAGAAGGGGCACAGATGGGTTCCCAGCTATCAGAATCTGGTGGCAAAGGATCAGTATGGTCCCCCTGCCTCTCGTCCCGGGGGCCTGGCCCTGGGGTTCGAGGTCCAGAGTCCAGCTTAGTCACCAGCCTTTACCCCCACAGCTGGCAACTCAGCCACAGCCGGGGCCTGGGCACACCGGAGAATCACTCACTTCACAAATATTCACTGAGCTCCTGCTATGTGGGGGGCAGTGGGGCCGAGGGTCCGGGGCCGCAGGCAGCAGCAGCCTCCACGGGGCAGAGCGGAGCTGGCCGACCCCTCACCTCTCACATTTCCTGGGCCCACACCTCCCTGGCCAACCCCTCTTATACCACACCCCCTGGAGACCACTTTCCTTTGAAGAAAAAACCAGCAGAGAAATCCAAAACTGCGGAGAAAAGGCAGGATTGGGTTGGGAGCTACCACGATGGGGGGAAGAGGCCAGTTGCTGGGTCTCCCCTGCCCACCTCGGTTGGACTCTGACCCCCACATCTTGTCTTCCAGAGGCTTCCACTCAGTCAGCCCTGGGCTCAGTGCCCACCTCTCCGTCTCCTTCCCTTTTTGCCCCCTACTACCTCTTTACCACCCCCCCACCTCGGCGTCTCCCCAAGCCCCTCTGTTGGATGGGTATCTACTTAGGGACCCGGGCCAAGCCCTGACTTAGCTGGGTGGCTGACAGATAAGGAGGACTGGCCTGAGCAGCTGTCCCCATGCAGGTGGCCTGGGAGAATTTGGCTAGAGGTGGGTTTGCGAGGGCTTGGTCCCAGCCTGAGGTGGAGGAGAGTTCCAGGCAAAGGCCCTGGGAGGGTCAGCACCCTCCGTGTTCCTGCCTGTCCTCACCTGGGGGAGTCTGTGGGGACTGCAGGCTGCGCCGCAGGAGCCACCAACCCCAGGGCCCAGACTCCACCCCTCGGTGAGAGAAGGGGGTCACTGAGCCAAACTCGCCTCCTCGCGGTGCTCAGGCCTCAGCCACAGCCCTTCCGGTGCTGCAGCTCACCCACCAGGCACGATCCACTTACCCTGGTCCTTCCCTTCGAGGTGCAGGTGCCAACCAGGGTGGGAGTCTGACTCCCCCTAACCACGTGATCTTGGACAGGTCATATTGAGTCGCCTCTCTGTTTCCTTACGGCACATGGGGACACTGCCCCTGCCTGGTGGAGAGGTTCAATGTACTCAGAGTGCAGGCACAGAGCCCGGGGTACAGAAAGTACTTAATATGTATTGGTTCTCTGCACCCCCAGCCCCTCTCCTGCCTGTTCTGCCTGGAAGGCCTTTCCAGGCACCAGAGCTTGGATTCAATTTAATATCTGCCCACAGGGACAGTTAATCTTCTAGCCAGCACCAGGCCCCCAACATTATTTACTTCCAAACTGTGAGCATAATTCCTTTTGGATTGCCCAAGGCTGTTCGGGATCTTCTGTTCTGGATCTGCACCTCTGCTCCCGGCCAGGCATGTCCCTCATCACGAGGAAGGCTTCTGGGCAGAGACAGACTGAGAAGAATCCCACCCCTTTGCTATGGTCTTGTTCGATGGCTACTAACAACCTTTTACCTGCCTGCACAGGGTTGGAATCTGACCCAGACACCACTCCAGCCCCTACCCCCACCCCAGGTTTCCCGATATTTGCAGGGCCTGAGGGCTCTGGCCCCTCCCTAGGCTCTCTGGGCTCTTCCTTCCCCTCCCCCTCCTGTGAAAGAACCCCAGCCCCACCCCCACAGGCGCTTCCCCTGAGCTGGCCCGTGATGGGGTGGGGCTGCAGAATTAGGGCCTGGGAGGTTTGGTTGTTTTTTAAAATTGTTTTAAATAACTTACATGGGTTATTTTTAATAATAAAAGTAAATATTGTTTATTGTAAAAAAACATGTGAAATATAGAAAAACAAATGTATACCTTATTCATAATCCTACCACTCAGGGAATCAGACCACCATGGACACCGCTTGCGTTTACACGTGCTTGGTTACGTAATTGGAATCCTGCTGGGTGCGATTTTGGATCTTATTTTAACATGATAGTGATAACTTCAGCGTTTTCTACTTTGCCGCCTTATTAACGGTTATTCAAAAGTAGTTTTTAATGGCGTGCCATGTTTTGACTCTATCCTAGAATAGTGACATTTCCCCTATTATTACTATCAGCACTATTTTCTTACTCCCGCCATCACTGATACATTGTGAGCAGCACCCCAGGCACACTGCACAGCAACTTTCTGAGTGGACGCTGTCATTTTATGGATGAGGAAACAGAGGCACAGAAAGGCTGACAGAACTGACCCCGGGCAGACAGTGACCTGGCTGAGCCGAGAGCCAGGCGAGGCTGGCGTCTGTGCTTTTAACCACATGTGCGGCGATGACACAGCTTTACATGTATGACGTGTGCCGGGTGCATTCCTGACTCACTACAGCACCTGCCTGGAGAGGGCCTCACTGGCTCACCAGCATGAGGCGGCCACTGTCCTGGTCTGTCCTGGACTTTGTTGGTGTCAGCACTGAAGGCCCTACATCCACAGACACCCCTCTGGCCACCCTGGGCGGCGTGGGCTGTGGAGGCTCTTGCTGCCCGTTGCCCAGTGTCCCCCAGAGGGTTGTGTTGGTGTGTCCCTCACGGCAGACTGGCCACATTCCTCTGGTTTCCCCGAGCTCAGCTTGATTTCTCTTAGTAGATGCTGGGACAAGGACCTCTATCACTTCTAACCCCTTACATGATCATAGTAATTATTATTAATAACACCCCTTCAACTATGTGGCTGGGGCATTTGACACCCGTGCAATGTATGACTGGTGGGGAGAAAAATGTGTCTGCCTCCCGCTCTCAGCTCCAAGGGGTGATCTCAGCCAACACATTTATTGTGTACTTAGGATGGAATAGGGAAAAATGCTGGAGCCCCACCCGGGGGAGCTAGCAGGGGGCGAGACCTGCCGTCCCCCACAACCCCGACCCAACCCAGCTTCCAGCAGGGAGCCCACCCTTTACACGGCAGCCTCCTGAAAGATCTGGACGGGCACGGCCGCCTGCCCCCAAGCCACACACCGACTGTTGTGTCCTGGGTACTTCGGTCATCACTTGCACGTCAAGATGTGATCCTTGTGTGTCACTGGCACTTCTGTCTGTGGCACACGTCACGGGGAGCCTGGGGCCTCAGGGCAGCAATGACAGAGCTGCTCATAAACTCCGAGGGCTTCAAGAACTTCCTTGGGTTTCCTCATTGGAAACCAGGCTGAGGACCTAGAAGGAGTGAGGAGGGTCTGAACGCCTGTCTGCTGCCCGGTCCTACAGGTGTTTTACCAGCTGGAGGGCGACATGGTTCTCCGGGTCGTGGAGCGAGGGAAACACCGGGATGTGGTCATTCGGCAGGGAGAGGTGAGGCGGGCCCGGGGGACGGGAGGTGAAGGGCCACCAGAACCGAACTGACCGAGACCACTCATCCTGGCTTAGGTCAGGATCTTGTTCTCCCCCCTTCTTCTGCCCTGCTGCCCACCTGCCCACCTGCCCCTGCCCCATCCTCAGCACCACTGACATTTTCTCGGCTCTCTGGTAGAGCTGGGCTGGGCTGGATCCTGCGGGTCGGCTGGGAGGCCAGGACACTATAGGCCTGAGGTCTCCGTGCGAGATCGCAGTCTTGCCGACACCTTGTCCCCACCACTGCAGATATTCCTCCTGCCCGCTGGGATCCCCCACTCTCCGCAGAGGTTTGCCAACACTGTGGGGCTGGTGATTGAGCGGAGGCGGCTGAAAACCGAGCTAGATGGGCTCCGGTAAGTGGGACGGTGGGGCAGAGACCGGTGGGGGATGGGGTGGGAGGTATAGGCAAGTAGCCAAGGAAGTGATCTGAGACAGATCCAAAAAAGCACTTCCTAGCCATTGAGCAAGAATGGGGAGGCAGCGGGGATCCCGTATTTGCCAGTTGATGGGGAGAGGTTAGGGTGGGTGGTGGGGTGGGTTTGATGGTGGAGGAAGTAGGATGTTCTCGGTGACCCTCTGGTTGCCCATTCAGCCTGCAGACCGCTAGCTGGGACCAGAGCCTGTGCTTTTTGCACTGAGGTCTGCTCGGGGGTTGGGAGGGGTGCGGACGCCAAAGGCCGACCCAGGTGGCCCAGGGCAGCCGGAACACTGCTGCTCCTCCAGCCTCCGACCGCCCCCCCCCCCGCCCGTTTATTTGGTCTCCTCCAGGGTGCTCCCCACTGGCTTCCCTGCCTGACTCATTCCATAGCCAGCGCTGGCATTGAATCGCACTTGCTCTGGCCCGGCACCAGCCCAAGCTCTTTACGTGCACTTTTATGCAGTTAATCCTCACAGTGATCCTATAGGACAGGTACCGTTGTCATCTGTACTTTACAGGTGAAGAGACTGGGCACGGGGAAGTCGGATTTGCCAGAAAATGGCTGAGCCGGCATGACACATACAAAGGAAGGGCCAGGACAGGCGGGATGGGAGCGGGAGTCACCCCCAGAGAGGGGCCCAGCACCCCTCGCTGGGGGCTGTTTCCAGACCTGACTTCCGGTTTGGTTCCCATCAGTCACCCAGTTACTATGGTCCGACAGGGTGGGGGGCCGCCTGTGGCTCAGGGGGACACAGGTTTTTACAAAAGCTGAACTACTTTTTGTATGTTTTGCTAAGAAAATAAAAAATTCCCAAGTTACTGACAGCTGTTATAACAAACATTTTTTAATGCTTTCCTTTTTTCTAGTTATCAAAGTCATACACATTCATTCTTGAAATCTGGAAAAGTATGAGAAAGCATGAACAAAATTAAAATTACCTGTCAGGAGAAGGGTGAATGTTAGGTTATGTGAATGTTATTTCAAAAAGAAAATTCAAAACTCAACACACAAAAAACCCCCAAAACCAACCAACCAACTCCCCGCCCACAAACAATAATAAAGAGAAAAGAAAAACTATTGCCATCCCTCCAATTAAATCTACCAAAGCGCTTCAACTTCCCTGTTCCCTTTCCCTATGAGTATCTGCACCTTCCCCCATTACAGTCTTAATTCAAGCATGGGTTTGAGTTTCGCCTTTTTTTACATTAAAAAAAAGTCATGCGTATTTCTTATAATATTAAATTCCTTTTTAAAATCACCATGTTAATGACTGCCTGCTAATCTGCTGCGTAATAGTCTGTTGTAAAAGCAGATGCCTGGCCTTAAACTCTAAGAGAAAACTTTCCCATGGGGCTTTATTTGGGGAGTCTTTAGTGATGGAGAGGACGGTTTCCTCAATAACATTTTTATAGCAAATGCAATAACAGATTTCATCTGGCTGCTCTGACCTTTAATAAAAGCCAGGGACTCAACATTAAAATTCCACTCTGAAGACAATTTCTGGAGGACATCACGGCCCAGTTAGGAGACTCTGTGGCGGCCAGCTCCTAGAGTAAAACAAAGGGTGCTGGGTGGGGTGAGGCATTGTGTCCATGAGCAGGACCACTTCTCTTTTTGGAGAGCAGCTGAAGGGCATGCAGAGCTGGCCAGGTCCTGGGGGCTGAGCCTGGGGACTCGGCATTCAGTGATAGACGTGCTGCACACACAGGACCAAGGGACAGCCCTGGTCTGCTGATTGCTCCGTCCACCCCACTCCCCAAGCCAGGCTGGGGGCTTGGGTGGGCCTCGGGGAGTGCACTGGAGGCCACGTGTACGTGCATACTGACCTTCCTCCTGAGAAGAAGCCTAGCGCTTTGCTTCAGTCGTTGAAAGCATCCATGACCCTGAAAGGGGAAGGCTCTCTCATTGTGGGGGCATCTTCCACCTGTTGGTCCCTGAGAGTTCCATGCACTCTGACCTTGAGCGCCAGCAGGCAGATGGAGCATCCAGTCACAGGCCCTGCATTCAGGGTCAGCCCCAACTTCTGTTTCAGACAAGTCAAGATACTTCTCATGATGCTCTCTATGGCTCTAAGATGGTCTCTAGTCTATCCTGCTTTTGCCTCTTACAGGCTGTAAATCCCTGTCAAACTGCCCCAGCTTCTCTGAGCCTCAGAGCCCTATCCACTTTGAAAATTATCAACCTTTAGGAACCAGGAAAAGCTTGCAAATGGGGTGGTTAATTGCCTTCTCACTTTGAGGGTGCACACTGCTTCTGGTAGAGCCAGGCGTGGCCACTAGGTTGCGCTAACAGGGTGAAGTGGGCAACCGGCTCTGCTGGGCCTGCAACCCAGAGATCAACAGGCAGAGCTGGGCGGGAGGGAGGCTTCCCTGAGGCTGGCCAGATGGGACGCTGGTTACCCATCCTTTACTTCGGCAGGTACTACATAGGAGACACCACGGATGTCCTGTTTGAGAAGTGGTTCTACTGCAGGGACCTCGGCACCCAGCTGGCCCCCATCATCCAGGAGTGAGGCCCATCCCAGCCTGCCCCTCATTCTCCTGAGGCCCCAGCTCTGGCTGGACAGCAGACAGATACACCTGGGAAGGGTTCCCGCAGCCTGTGCCAGCCCGGAGTCATTGTACCTGGGATTTAGGGAGAAAGATTACCTCTCCCAGGGTGGGAAGGCCAAGCTGGAAAACCCCCTGGAGAGCGAAGGAGGCTACTCCATGGGTCTGGGAGTGGGCAGATGGCAGATATGAGTCATATGAGGGCCCCACGAGTATGTTTGGGCTCCAGCACCTCAGAGCATGCCTGTGTCTGCCTCACCGACCTCTCAGTGGGGAACGCTGGCCCCTCCTCCCCTTCCCCCCATGTCCCTGCAGGTTCTTCAGCTCTGAGCAGCACAGAACAGGAAAGCCCAACCCTGGTGAGGCCACCGCAACCGCCTCCCTCCCTCCCTCCCTCCCTCCCTCCTTTCCCAGGGTAGAATGGGTCTTGGCCTAGGGTACTAGGGAGTCCCTTTTTGAGTACTCTGCCCAGTACTCAAGGTATGGGAAGATGGCACCTAATAGTACCCCCATATGGCTGCTGGGTCCTTGACTTTGGTCTAGAGCCCATTCCTGCAACTGAGAGCTGGGTCCCCTGGGAACTGGGTCTGCTGGGACTGGGAGGGCTGGACCAGAGGACACTGACCACAGCTGGACCATGAGTGCAGACCAGCTGCTCAAGGAAACGCCGTTTCTGCTGAGCACACGATCCGTCATGGAGCCCACGTCCCTGGAGGCCTGGTTGGATACCCACCGCAGGGAGCTACAGGGGAGCACACCCCTCAGTCTCTTTGGGGACACCTATGAGACTCAGGTAATGCAGCCCTGGACGTCCACCCAGCAGCCCAGGGAAATGGGAACTACACATACACTTAAGAAGTTGTAGACATAGGCATAGGCCTTCCTGGTTTTTCCCTGACTCAAAACAGGCTTTACGTGGGTGGTCCTGAGCAGTCTTCCCTTGCCTTCAGAGTAGGGGGCCATCCCACCCAGGAAACCTACTCTGATAGGTTTCTGGGGCCTGGGGTCTTCCCCTGCTAGGGATTCCTGAGCCTTTGCCCAGCACAGCCTTGGGAGCTGGAAGGGAGAGAGGTGTTTGCTGGTGAGGGTTGGGTGGAAAGGTACAGATACTCAAACGGAGCTGGCCTCCTTTTATTCAACACTTACTAAGTGTCTACTATATTTCCGGGAAAGTGAGATAGAATCACTGCAGCAGAGAGTGTATGGTCTGGTAAATGGACAAGTTAATCAACAATCGCCACAATCGTGATACAATATATTTGGTAGAGGAGCTTTAGGAAGAAGCCACAGGAAGATAAAGGAGGAACCCACACTGGGAGAGAGGTTAGGAAAGGCTTCCTGGAGGCTGTGATGTGTAAGGTACATTTTAAAGTGAATGTAGGCGTTTGCAAAAGAAAGGGAGGTAGCAAAAGCATTCTGGGGAAGGGAGAAGCAGTGAGCAAAGTCCTGAAAGCTTGGATCAGGCTGGCCCTGCAAAGTAGCTAAGGTAGGCAAAAGCCACGGCGGGGGAGTGGGAGCAGCCTGAGCAGCAGGCAGTGCCCAGTCCTGGTGGGTCTCCTGAGGCAGACAAGGTCCAAGGACTTGTCCTGGAGACACCAGAGCTTCACCCAAGCATTGAAGCAGGGGGAGGATGAAGCCGGATGGGAGGGCAAGTGTGGGGGCAGGAAGACCTGCTGGAAGGCTCATGCTCGCCTGTGCTTTACAGCGTGCAAACAACACGTCCTCGCTGTGTGAATCAGACAGCCCCGTGAGGGTCGCTCACTGGGTACAGACTTTCCCTGGAGGCCTGAGCTTAGCATGGCTCTGAAAGCAGGCGCACACCGCAAAGCCTGTCACGGCAATGTCATTCAGCGCCACGCTGGCCTCAGGGCCTTGCCTTCCACCTCGTTCTCACCCCTACTCCTACCTGCTTCAGCTTATGCCAACAAATACCCACTGAGTGCCCCGAGGGTGTCCCTGGCAGGTGTGCCTTCCTGTGGGTCAGTGACAGTTATGGCATGCCACAGAGGGACCAGGCGTGTGTGTGCGTGTGTGTGGAGGGCTGGCGTGTGTGATCCCGAATGGCCGGTGGGCAGCACCCATCGTGATGGAGGCAGCAGGGAGGCCTGCAGCCTGGGCAGCCTTTGCGTCACACCGAGAGACACGGCTGTATTGCAGGCCCCGCCCCTGCCCCACACTGGTCTGTGTCTGGGGGCCAGGTTTAAGGCCATCTCCTTTGGGGGCAGGAAGCACCAAAAAGATCTGTGTCACTTCCTCTCAGGTGATCATCTATGGACAAGGCAGCAGCAAAGGCCCTAGACAGGATGTGGACATGTGGCTGTGGCAGCTGGCAAGTGGGGTCCGCAGGAGAGGGTGGCACAGGCTCCTGCCCTTGGGGACCAGGCTGCTCCTGGGCCTGGTGCTCCCTACTCCAGACCAGCTCCCGGGGCCTCCTGCCAAGGCTGACTCAGGACTCCCGGACTGGCACTGAGGCCTGATAGCCCCCCTTCAATTCTCCGGCCCTTCTCCTCCAGGAGGGCTCCTCCACAGTGACCGTGGGGGGACAGCGCCTGAGCCTCGCCCCTGATGCAAGCCTCCTGGTGCCCGCCGGGACTGAGTGAGTCCACGAGGAGGACTTGTCCTCAGCTGTGGGACTGCTCTCCTCTCCCTGGGACCCTTAGGGTCCGGCCTTGCCTGACCGCTGCCCACCCGTGTCTCCACAGGTGTGCCTGGGAGCGAGGGCAAGGCTCCGTGGCCCTGGCTGTGACCCAGGACCCCGCCCGCAAGAAGCCCCTGGGGTGACTGTCTCAAAGCAGCCACAGCGCCACCCCTGCCGAACGACTGCTTTCCCAGCCCCCCATGCTCCTCCGTGTACTGCTGCTGAGTGACTGAGCGCCCCTGCGGAGCTCTGGATGTCATTGTCATCTACTCTCCTCCGTCCCCCGTCCCCTGTCGCCAGGCTCCAGCGGGGCCAGTTGCTCCCCTTCTCCTCTAACAACTCTCAGCCCTCTGCCCTGAATGGTTCCACCAGGTGGTCTGTCCCTGAGGCGGGGCTGCCTGTTCATCCCACTGTCCCCACAGGCTCAGTCCAGCACTTGTCTGCCACCAAGAAGGCCCTCAATAAAGGCTTCCTGGTGGATGGGCACCGTGGTTCTGTGAGGACACAGGCTGTGGTCAACAGCTGACCCTGTTACCTGGGCTGGGAGGGTCTATTGGTGGTGTCCCTGCTTGCTGAGGGGCTGTCGTCACTGGGCATGTGGCCCGACCCACACCACATGGACGTCCTGGGGGCGCGGCTGACGTGGTCTCTGCCTCTTTCCCATGTATTCTTTTTGCAGAATTTTTAAAAATAGCATCTGTTAGGTTTTTCCCCCCAACAGCAGGGGTGATTTCCACTAATTAAATCAGTAGAAAACACAGAAATACATAAAAACCCCAAAGCCTCTGGCCAGAGTTAAGCAGTGTTAACACACCAAGGTCATGAGGGGCCCTGAGAGGATTCAAACTGTGTGAGGAGGCTGGCCGTGGGAGGGGTGTCTGGCCGCCCCCCCCAAGTTCGCGCTGCGGCGTGATGCACCCCATCCTCACGCTCAGAGGGCTCCTGGGCAAGGTCTGGGCCCCGAGTGCCAGAAGCCCCAGAAGCAGCAGTGGATGGACATGAGACACGAAACCTGTCGTGGGATTCTGGGACTTTAATGAGCAGATGATGAGGGGCCAGCGGGGGTGGCTGAAGCTGAATGTAGACAGAACAGGTTTCTGGTTACACCTACAGGCAAGTCAACATTTCCTCTGAAAAACTTGGGTCCTGAACCCTGCCTCCACCGTGGCCCAGCGGCTCACTGCCTTGATACGCTCCACTGAAGAGCAGAGCGGAGCCTGGCTTTGCAGAAGAGGCTTCTGGCCCTGAGGGATGTCTACTTCACGCACCTCTCTCCTCCTAAGGGCTTTCCTCTCCTGAATGCAAAGAAAAAACACCGCCAGCCTCCCCCAAACTTGCAAACAGTCCAGGGCAGTGAGGGCAGAGGCCTGGTGTGCGCTGGGGCTGCAGCCACGTGCGGGCCCATGCGGAAGCTGAGATGACACGGCAGTGCCCCGGAGGGGGCCCCGGCAGGGTTCAGGTGGCCACAGGAAGAAGGAGTTTGTCCCTAGTGCCTAACCCAAGACAGAAAATAATAAAAATGAGACCTTCTGTTTCCCTGAAACACCAGTTCTGTGCCAGAGAATTCCCCAGAAGTTTTTACATACATTATCTTACTTAATCCTCACAACTCTCCAGCAAATGGGTGGCACCCCACTTTAAAGAAAGCAGGCAGCTCTCTTGGACACAGGCAGCTCTCTGTCCAACCAAGGCCTGTCTGCATTCAAAGCTCAGGCTAGGGGTCTCACCACCCTGCAGCCTGTAGTTGCAGCCTGTTTGCCCTCAGCCTTGGCCAGACAGGGACCCAGGGCAGGGGCATCTGAGGGAGAGGAGTCAGTGGCCACTGTGCCTGAAACCCAGAGGCCCAGGCAGAGCGGGCAGCACATGGCACACCACTGCCCACAGGTAGTTGCAAAGGTGGGTGTCGGGTCCCGGAACCACGGCCTTCCTTGGTGCTGTCCCAGGTCATCGGGAGCCGCAGGCCCTCGTCTCTGCCCTCAGGCTGGGCCACAAGGCCGCAGGAGAACACCACGCAGCAGGAGAGCAGGACTTGTCCCGGTCCGAAGCTAGCCCCGGCCTCCCACTCCCCTCTCTTCAGTGAATGCTGGGTGGAGGTGGAGGGCAGTAGACAGTGGACACGGAAACTACAGGATTCTCAGCATTGTTCCATTCTGGGGAGAAGCCCCCAAGTCCCCAGATCATGGCAGTAGAAATCGGCAAGGGAGCCCTCTCTCTGTGGGATGTGTTTCATCGTGTACATGGACTTGAGACCATCACAGACTTTGGAACCATCAGGAGTCTGGGCCTAACAACAGCAGCTGGCAGAACACAAACTGGCTGACCCCACAGGCCATGCACACGGTTGGGCATAGACTGTACTGCCCACTCCCTTCTCCCAGAACACAGTCCTGCTGAACCCCAGTCCCTGCTGCCACAGCAGGGCAGGGCAGGGTGGCGGCCGCCCAGCCTGCACATATGATCGAGGGCCGGGGTTGGCCGGGGTTCCTTCTTCAGCAAGATGTCCGACCCCTCGGAGCTGTGTACACTCTCCCCCAGCTCACCCCAGGAGGGCCCGCCTCCTGCCTCAGGCTCTCTCTGGGCCTCCACCTCATCCCTGCTGAGCTCTGCTTCCTCCTCTTTCCCAGGGGGAGGGAGGGGGAACAGATGCCTCCCTCCAGTGTGGGATCAGAGACCTGGAGGCCGAGTCATTGCCCAGCGTGGGTAGGGGAGGGAGGGAGGGCAGGCTGCAAGGTTCCCTTCTGCTAGCAAACAGGAACACTGGCTGTTTCTCAGTGGCTTCCAGGACGCTGAGTCACTGCGGTAGCCAGCAGACAGACAGCACTCGCCCCTCAGCACTCACACAGCAGGAGAAAGACTGCAAACTTCTCTGGGTCCACAGCCCATGCCGCACATGGAATTTCATAACCAGAGCACTCCCTCTGCCCTTCCTGCCCTTCCTTCTCTCTCTCCCTCCGCTCTCCCTTCCTCCCTCCCTCCCTCCCCCTTCTCCTCTCCTCTGGCCCTCAGCACTGCACTGAGGTCTCCGGCCCCCTGCCTCCCAGCCTCTTCCCCCAGGGTGTCTGCATTCCTGGCGCCAGTCCTGGCTGTGGAGTGTATCCTGGGCCTGGTGGGGAACAGCTTGGCCTTCTTCATCTTCTGCATCCGCACGCGGCCCTGGTCGTCCAACGTGGTGTTCCTGGTCAGCCTGGTCTTCGCTGACTTTCTCCTGATCGCCAACCTGCCCCTCCGCGTGGACTACTACCTACGCCGCGAGACCTGGCCCTTAGGGGACGCCACCTGCCGGGCCAGCCTCTTCATGCTGTCCACCAACCGCACGGCCAGCGTGGTCTTCCTCACGGCCATCGCGCTCAACCGCTACCTGAAGGTGGTGTGGCCCCACCACGCGCTGAGCCGGGCCTCGGTGAGGGCAGCCGCCTGGGTGGCCGGGGGTCTCTGGGGGTGCATCCTGCTCCTCAATGGGCACGTGTTCCTGATCACCTTTCCCAGCCAGACCTGCATCAGTTACCAGCTGGGCATGCACCCCTCGGCCTCGAGGAGTGCGATGACCCTCCACTGGCACCATGCGCTGTACTTTCTAGAGTTCTTCCTGCCGCTGGCGCTCATCCTCTTCGCCGTTGTGAGCATCAGGCAGACCATCCAGCGCCGTGGCCTGGGCGGGCAGGCGGGCCTCCGGAGGGCCAGGTGCGTGCTGACGGCTGTGGTGGCCGTCTACACAATCTGCTTCTTGCCCAGCATCGTCTTTGGCGTGGCATCCATCGTGGCCTTCCGCCTGCATGCCTGCCCCACCCTGGACATCTGCTCTCAGCTCTTCCACAGCTCCCTGGCCTTCACCTACCTCAACAGTGTCCTGGACCCCGTACTCTACTGCTTCTCCAGCCCCCACTTCCTCCGCCACTGCCGGACCCTGCTGGGCCTCAGCCAGGGCTCGCAGAGCCCAGACAGCGATGAGAACTCCTGCCAGCCCCCTGGCCGCCTCCAGGAGGCCTCTGGGAAGGCAGAGACTGTAGGGACGCTACAGGTGGAGGGCTCACTGTAGGCTTTGCTGGAGTAAGGGAGTCTCCTCCTGGGCCTGGGGTCTGCAGGGCACTCCGGCATGCAGGGAAGGGTCACTCCTGGACTGTTGTCGGCACAGGGGCCTCAGCCAACTGCACAGGAGCCAGGTGGGTGGCAGGGAGGGACAGAGTGTTGGCCTCATGGAAGTGTGTCCCCTGGTGTCACCCCCAGAGTGCAGGAGAGTCTGATGGAGATAGGCAGGGGTGTAGGGGCTGCAGCTCAGACAGGGGGCTCCACAGCTGCCTGTTCCTGCCTGGTGAGCTCATTACTGTGAGAGCAGGAGTCTTGCTTCAGAAATTGGACAGCTGCATGTTCGGGGATCCCCAGCTCGTCCTTTCAATACTAGTAAACTTCCTTTGAAAATGCAAGCCTATCTTGGCTGTCCCTTCTCTTTAAATTGTATTTTATTGATTATGCTACGACAGTTGTCCCAATTTCCCCCCCTTTGCCTCCCTCCACCCAGCACCCCCCACTCCCTCAGGCCATCCCCACACCATTGTTCATGTCCATGCGTCATGTGCATAAATTCTGTGGCTACTCCATTTCACATCCCATGGCCATTCTGTGACCACCTGTTTGTACTTCTTGGTCCCCTCACCTCTTCACCCATTCCCCCAGAGCCCCCTCCCATCTGGCAACCATAAAAACATTCTCTGTATCCATGATTCTGTTCTTCTTAGTTTGTTTTTTAGATTCAATTGTTGATAGATACACATTTATTGCCATTTTATTTTTCATAGTTTTGATCTTTTTCTTTAAAAAATCCCCTTAACATTTCATATAATAATGGCTTGGTGATGATGAACTACTTTAGCTTTTTCTTGTCTGGGATGCTCTTTATCTGCCATTCAATTCTAAATGATAACCTTGCTGGGTAGAGCAATCTTGGTTGTAGGGCCCTGCTTTTCAAGACTTTGACTATTTCTTGCCAGTCCCCTCTAGCCTGCAAAGTTTCTTTTGAGAAAGCAGCTGACAGCCTTATGGGAACTCCCCTGTAGGTAACCGCTTTTCTCTTGCTGTTTTTAAGGTTCTTTCTTTATCTTTATCCTTTGGCATTTTAATTATGATGTACCTTGCTGTGGTCCTCTTTACATCTGTCTTGTTTGGGGTTCTCTGTGCTTCCTGGACTTGTGTGTCTATTGCCTTCACCAAATTAGGGACATTTTCTTAATTACTTCTTTATTTTTTATTGTGCTCATTGGTTGTTTTTTGCTTCCTTATGTTTCAAATCATTGATTTGATTCTCAGCTTCATCTACTCTCCTGTTGTTTCCCTGTAATTGTTCTTTATTTCAATTAGTGTATCCTTCATTTCTGACGGTATCTTTTCTAGGCTGTTGAGGTCCTCACTAGGTTCCTCGAGCATCCTTATAACCGGTGTTTTGAGCTCTGCATCCGATAGATTGCTTATCTCCATTTTCTTTCGTTCTTTTCCTGGTGTTTTGATTTGTTCTTTCATTTGGGCCATGTTTCTTTGTTTCCTCATTTTGGCAGCCTCCCTGTGTTTGTTCCTATGTATTAGGTAGAGCTGCTTTGACTCCATTTCTTGATAGTGTGGCCTAATGTAATTGATGTCCTGTAGGGTCCAGTGTATAGCCTCCTCTATCACCCAAGCTGGGTACTCGAGGTGTGCCCTTCATGTGGGCTGAATATACCCTCCTCTTGTCGTTGAGCCATGATTGTTGTTGACAGGTCAATGGGAGGGGTTCACCCAGGCCAGTCAGCTGCAAGGACCGGCTGTGACCACTGACCACCACCTTCTGCCCCTCATGGAGGACCAGCTGTGCAGGGTTAGGATAGAGGTGCTCTGACATGGTCTGTAGGTGTGCACTGTGTGCGCAGGCCCTGGGGTTTCCTGGATAGTGCAGGCCAAGGTCAGCCCCCATCTGTGTTCTGCCTGCGGCCCCCTGTATGAGCTATAAAGCAGTCTGAGATGGCTGCCACTTGTGCTGGGCTTGGAGATTCCCAGGTGAAGCTAAGCTGTGAATCTAGATTGGCTGCTCCTAGTGCTGGGCCTGGGGCCAGTTAGCAAGAGGTCCTGGAGCTAATAGGATATAAGAAGTTGTGAAGCGTGAGCCAAGACCAGCCATTCATATGGAAAAGTCAGTTAACAGTTTGGGTGGGCCTATAAATTGGTTGGGATAGAATCTCAGGGTATCTCTAGGGAGGGGCAAATAGTGTTAGCCAGGAAGACGGAGTCTCAGACATGGCACCAGCCTGCTGGCTCTTTGGCTCTGCCTGGAGAGGGTTCAGAAAAAGGACAATGGCCTGCGCACACCTTTCTCTCTGGGAGAAATTGTCCTCCAGCTCCCGCCTTGATGCCAGACACTTCAGTTCTTCCCTGTATGCTTCTGGTGCCTTTCAAGCTGTGACCCTGGTGCTGGAGTTCAGAGGGAGTGAGTCTGAGTGAGTCCGTGTGTAGATTCTTTAAGAAGGACTGCTTGGAACTCCCGAAGTTTCTTCCACTGACTCAATCCGCCCTGGAGTTGTCGCCCAGAAGTTACGGGGACTTACCTTCCTGGAACGGGAACCCTGGGCTGGGGGATGTGGTGTGGGGCTGGGACTCATCGCTTCTGAGATATCCCTCCCAAATTTTTGTCTACCATACATGGATGTGAGACCAGCCCATCTGATGTCTCTGTCACCCCTACCAGTCTAAATGATGTGGTTTAACTCTGTAATTGTTAGACTCCCATTCAACTTGATTTCTGACAGTTCTGAGTGATGGTTGTGATATAGTTTAGTTGTAATTTTGATGTGGTTGTGTGAGGAGGTGAGCTGTGTTGACCTATGCCGCCATCTTGACCAGAAGTCCGTCTGTCCTGGCTGTTCTAAACAAATATGAATAAATACATTTTTTGGTTCATTCAGTTCTGACAACAGCAGGGTTCAAAGTGTGTGTCCTAAGATGAAGGGAGACTCTGCAGATGGAGTGGGGAAGCTCTCCGGGGCACCGTCCTTCCACACTACTGGAGCCCTGGCGTGTCCTACGGCTCATGCGAGGTGCAGCCCTACGGGATCCCTGGGAGTTCTATGATCCTCTCTGGCCTTCAGCTTCTCTTCTGCAACCCCCAAGGTCCTTCCCAAAGCACCAAGGACTGGGCCCTACTCTGCTCTCACCTAAGACAATGTGGAGGTCACCACCTTCACCACCTCCAGCCAGTCCAGGCTCTTGGCTCAGCTCCAGCTCCCATCCCTCCCCTGCAAGGCTTTCCTCAGCCCCAAGTGCACTACCCTGGCCCTAGAACCTGTGGTGGCAGCTACGCCACCAGGACCTGACTGGTGTTGAGAGCCAGGGCCTCAAGGTCACCAGAGCTGGCTCACAGCTCTCCTCCAAGGCCATCTTGCCCACCTCTACCCCTTTCTGTTCTGTTCAATATGCCTGTGGTTAGAATCCGAGACCATTTGGGCTAACTCATCTGTTGGCCTGGGTCTCCCGGGCACAGATGTGTACCTGGCATGAATCAGGGTTTTGTTTTGGTTTGGTTTGTTTTTTTGCGGGGGTGGGGGTTAGGGGGTAGTGTTTGTCTCTACTGTCCACAAGGGAAGTCACAGGGCAGGGGCATAGCCTTCAAGGCCCCCAAAGGACTACTTAGAGGTCACTAAAGCCCCAAACATGTACCTCCTGAACCCTGTGTGTCCCCAGCCCTGGCCACTGCAGGGGAATGAACATTCCCCCACATCAGACGTGCGTCTCCCTGCTGAGGAGACAGAAGAGGCTCAGCTGGTTGTCCACTCACCCTGGCCACAGGCATCTAGGCCTCAGCTACAGGCTGTGATGACGGGGACCAAATGCTCTCTCCCCAGTTCCCTCCACTAAGTCCAACCCTGTCATACTGTGGACTGGGATGCTTTCGCCTGTCTCAGGAATAGAGCCCAAAGTACCAGAGAGCCCCCCTGCCCCAGGAGGGAGACATCCAGGAAGAGTGTGGATGTTGGGGTGGGAGATGGGGAGAACATGCCAGAAGGAGGGAGGCGGCCTGGGAGACAATGGGCTGGACGGACATTGGAACCCATTTCCTCGGAATATCTCTACTACTCTTCCCTTTTCTGAAAACTCACCAAGTGCTCTTAGAAACCCATGGATGTAAGAACCCAAACCAAGTGACAGAAAGAGGTATGCCGCCTGCGCTGCTCCAGGATGGCTCCTCATGTCTCTCTGTCCCCAGGGCTCCCCATTCCATTCCTCTTGTGGCTGACTTTTCACCCTGGTACAGCCACTCCCAGGGACTCCCCACCGCTCCACCCTCTACCACCATGGGGAGAAGTGGGCCAAACCTGGACCAGCCCAACTTCAGGCCGAGATTTGTCATTTCTGAGTCAGACACTTTTGAGAGGCCCAAGCACTCCTGGAGGCTAGGGACTGAGCACTTTCTCAAGGAGCCCCCACCCCCAGGCCCGTTGCCAGAACACTGAGTGAGGAAGACAGTAATTGGGGAGGGGGAGTGAGAAGGGACAGGGGACGAGGGGGAGGAGGAGGCAGAAGAGGAGGGCGAGAACAAAGCAATCTGTGCCGAAGTGCAGGATTTTCTGCAAATCGGAGGGCAATGTCCATGGCAGTGTAAGGTGAGGCAAAGGCAGGCTGAGTAAAGGCCCATTTCCTGTATTTGGGTTCCGAGTAGCATTTTGACCTTTCAGGTGGGTCAAATGGACCTGAAAGGTCCATTTATTCATTGTGACTACTGAGCAGTGCCTTCTGTCTTCTCTTTCTCTTAATGTAACCTGCTGTCAACCTAAGGGACAGCAACTGGCATCCACAACTCTACTCCAGGGACTCCTGGGCAGGGAGACAGAGGGCAGGGCTGGGCTGATGGGCCTGTAGCCACTAATCACCCAGCATTTACTGGGTACCCACCAGTGGCCAGACACTAAGCTACAAAGGCAGATGATACGACTTTGACATTGAGCCTCTCCAGGCCAAGATGGGAGAGACAGACCTGCAAATGGATCAAATTTGACCCAAGCCAGGGAAATGCAGGGTCTCTGAGGTAGCAACGCATCTCTGAGAGCACAGAGGACCAAAGAGTTACCTCTGCCCAGGTGTCAGCGAGGTCAGGTATGCGAGCTGAACCCTGGAGGGTGCGCAAACGGCATCCCTGACATGGGCTAGAGCAGGAACAAGGGTGCAGAGCTGTGAAGAGACTCAGTGTGCAGGGAGAGGTGAAGAGATCACTGGGGCAAGAGAGGCGCAGGCCTAGGCACAGGGTTAGGAGACAGGCAGGACGGGGAGGTTGGGCCCTGCAACTCAGGAGCCTGAGCGGGTCCCAGAGACAATCGGTGTGGCGGGAAAGAGAATATGTGTGAGGTTTTTAAGAAGTCAAAGATGGCCCTGGCCAGGCGGCCCAGCTGGCTGGAGCATTGTCCCCATGTGCCAAGGTTGCAGGGTTGATCCCCAGCAGGGCACATACACGAATCACCCAGTGAAGGCACGAATGGCTGGAGCAGCAAATCGATGTGTTTTCCTTTCAAATCAGTAAAATTAAAATTTTTTTAAAAAGTCAAAGATAAGCAGCTTTGCCTTGAGGGGGTATGGGAGTCGACCTAAGTAGGAAACAATCTACATTCCAAGCAAGGACGTGAATAAAGGCAGCGGGGAGAGTGGGAAGGGGCTGACAAAGAGCGCGGGCTAGGTGAAGGAGAGAGGTGACCGTGGGCGGTGGGTGGAGGGGACACATCCAGGATACAGGTAGTAGAGCAGGCGGGCAGAGCGGATGAAGAGTTAAGCCACGTTGGAGGGGCTCGGCAGGCCCCCGGGTGAGCCTACTCAGCAGCACACTCCAGGCCGCTGTACGATTTCGGAGTCTTCCTCTTACTATTGATAATCTGGAGTTGAGTTTATGGGAGGGGATGGGGTTACCTGGGCAAAGCGTGAAGATGACTAAGAATTATGCTTCAAAAAAAATCCCCAGGAGTAAGAGGCACACAAAGGAAGCCCCAGTAAATGCCCAGATGAAACCTTTAGTACAGAGAAAACCAGGAATGTAAATAGCAGGAAGAGCAGAAAAAGAAGTCAAGGTAATCTCTTTGCCCAAGTGTAGAGATCGCCCATTAAAAAGAACATACCAGAGGCACCTTTTATGAGGGTAAGAACCAAACATAAAATACCCAGACAGGCTGCAAAGTGCCTCGCACAAGAACATGACACTTTAAAAACTCCTAACTGCATGCTGAAGAACGCCCATCTGAAAACTATGGTGCGTGTCTGGCGCTGTCTGGTCAAGCATCTCGGTTGAAAACCCTGGATTAACAATGCACGCATCACTGGTGCTACCAACAAGCTTCGCAAGAAGTGATGAACTGTCGTTTGCATAAAATTTATGCATAATATGCAAAACACGTTCTACATTGGTCATAGACTCAGAGATATGTAAAATCATGCATTGGGACGATGAACACCAAATTAAAGAGAGCACTTGCTTCTGAATTGGAGGAACACGGGAAGGGGGGCCACGGGTGATTACCACTATCTCTGAAATTATTCTTTGTAAAAAAATCTGAAAAAAATAGCTATGAGCAGTATCCTGATGTTACTTAGAGTTCCTCTGGGGAGAACACAGGGGTCAATGTCGTAAACAAAGAAAGTAATATGATGACAACAGCTTCAGATTCTCAAGCTCAGGTGCTATGACTAAAAATAACATTGGATTTGGCCACTAGGAAGTCGCTGACGCCTGCATCCACTGCAGTTTCAGTGAGCAGCTGGGGTAGGGGCGGAATGGGAGCCACAAGTACAGACTGAGAAATTAACGAGATTTGAAGCAATAGAGACAACTCTTCCCTCTCCCAACAAAAGTGCCAGCAGAGGGAGGTAAGGCTATGGCATCACGTGACGCTGAGGAGAGGACAGAGCAGGTGGTCTGACTGCTCTGCTGTTTTGTTGACGGGATGGAGACATTTAAATGCAGTGGTGGGAAAAGGGAGACAGGTCAAAATGAGGGGCTGGGGGAGAGAATGATGACTGAACAATAGTAAATGCTCTGTTCTATGCCCTGTACTAAGCCACTTTACAATTTATTTAGTCCTATGAGGTAGTCATTATCATCCCATCTTACAGATGAAAAAACCCAGGCTCAGAGAAGTGGGATAACTTGCATGAGGTGACACAGCCAGTAAGCGGCAGTCTGGTCCAAGTCGGGACAAGGCCCTATGGGGAGATCGGGGAGGAATCGATTCGGCACATGGGTGCCAGGAGGGCCCTCTGTAGGCCAAGGGGCACCTCTTGGATTGCCAGAAAGGCACTATTACATGCAGTCAGCCTTGGGATGGAGCGGAAGATGGGTGAAGGGATACTTAGAAGGCTTGGCTCTCAGCAGGTAAGGGCTTAGGGATGACAAAGGATTGGGACGGCTGGTCCTGAGAACAAGAAAACAGGTGCTTGAAGATCATATAAAAGAGCCACTAAGCAAGTGGTCCAGGTACCCGGTGAGCAGGCACCCTCAGCACTGGGGTAGCAACAGTCCCTGCGGGAGGTATGGGTTCCTCTAGCGACCCCCTGCAGTTCAGGAGCAAGATCAGAACAAATGGAAGGTAAGGCTGATCCAGAACAAACATGCTGAGCAAGTCCAATCCTAAACACCCAGTCTTGGCAAAGGACCTTAACACCGATACACCTTGGGAGGTAGGGCATGGGGCACTCTGAGCTCTACAGATCGGCCTCCAGAAAGAAGGAAATCCAAGTCAGGATAAAAAGTCTTAATGGAAAGACACCAAGAACCATGGGGTACCTTAGGGATTTCATGGAGGTGGGGCTTCTGTGCTCTACCTCTGCTTCTGCAAACCCTTCCCTGACCACCAGGCTGGCCCAACTGAGCCCTCCATCCCGCACTCAGCCAGTTACCCACACAGCCTCAGGCACAACCTCTTCTGTTCCCCAGTAACCTCACGTGGGTATGTCTTGCTTCTTTAGTGAGACTCTTGAAAGGAACTTGGTCTCTCTCTCTCTCTCTCTCTCTCTCTCTCTCTCTCTCACACACACACACACACACACACACAAATGGCAGCAAACGAGAGTCACAAACAGGCTTCACAAACACGGGCCGGAGGAGTCCCAAGTGAGCCTGCAGTGGTCCCAGCACAGTGACCAAGGCAGAGTCTACACTACGGTCAGACAGGTCAGAACCAATAAAACACACAACGGAGAATGACGTCTACCGGGCAGGCTTCAGCACCCAGGGCCTAGGAAAGAAAGGGAGACTGCCAGGCACGTGGAGTGGGCTCCGTTTACCTTTTGGGTCAATGCAGACATTATTTCTGACTTTTAGGCCAGAGGAGAACAGTGTGAGAAGGGGGTGCTGGGCCTCCGCCTGTGGGGTGTGCAGGCCCTGCGCCTGCTTTCTGCGCAGGAGCCCTCCCCTTGCACAGGCACACCCCCCTCCTGTGGCCCGCATTCCTCCTCGACTTGCACCAGGTGGAGCAGTGCAAGGTGGTTGATGGGCAACAGCTGCCTGTTGCTCCTCACACCTCCAGACTTGGGGGACACAGGGGCACAGGCCACCTATTGCAGTCACCTGGCACACAAACCTCCACTTGGCTTATGAAACAGCAGAAGAAAATGCAAGTCTTGGGGAAGGCCTCGGAGAGTCTCAGTGTGGCTGGGCTTTGGTGGGGCAGGGGCGGTGGGGAACGGCAACATTAGACTAACCCCCTGGCCTATTACTCCCCAAGGCCCTCGGAGCTACGTGGGGGGGGGGGGGTGCAGCACCTGAGGCCAGGGTGCCTGACACTGAGGGCTGGTGGGGGACGGGGGTGTGCACCCAGCCTGACAGCTGAGCCACTGTCCCGGCAAAGGACAGCCTAAAACAAGGCATAATTTCCAGAAATTTATTGGAAACACGACATAAATTGATTAGTAGATGGCATCTACTTACAGACAGACGGTCACACTGTAATATTCTCTGAATGAATTATCCTGGGCAGACACTCATGACCACTGAGGCGTGGTCTGGGTCCGTGTTCTTCAGCAGGGATAAGCGGAGATTGGGGGAGAGCTATGGGGTGGTGCAGATAACTGGGGCGCAGCTTTCCTGAGGGGCATGGTGAGCTGGGGCTGCTAAATGGGTGAATTCCTCCAAAGGAAAACGGGACGGCTGTCGGGTATAGACTTCCTCCCTCCCTACCTCCCTAAAGCTCTTTCCTCTCTAGGTAGAGAGAAAAAGAACCTGCAAACACCCAGGGGGGCAGCTCCTCCATCTCCCCTCACTGGGAGCTTAGGACAGCATGGGGCACAGACATCAGGCTTGGACGTGACACAGGTCAGACCAAGGCCACATGTGTCCTTGCCGCTTACCCTTGACCCACTCCTCGCCCTCCCCTGCTCTGCTGAGTGGTGGCGAGCTGACCGCTGTGGGTTATCTGTCCCAGGACCCTAGGTCAGCTGGCTCCCAGCTGGGTATAGCTAACAAGAGGCACCTGCAGACATCTGGCAAGCACAAGCTAGGGAGAAGCCAGGCCGTCTCTCCCTGACTCTGCCTGGGTCCATGCCTCGTGGCCACAGCTCCCTCTGTGGTCCCGGGTTCCTCCCAGTGTCCCCTCGCTCCAGGCCGCAGTACCACGGCCTCTCCCCTGTGTCCCACCAGCCTTCCAACTCATTTCTGGGTTGCTCCCCACTCCCGTTTGGCCTCAGCTTTTCTTGTGTCTGTGCTAAACAATGACCTGGATTAAAACTCTTCTGTTTTGAATACTTAGAGTGGCTTCTGTTTTCCTGGTGGAACGCCGACACAGGACCTGGGCTGTGGGCAAGGGGGACTTGTGAGGCCTGCTGAGAAACCCGCCTGGTGTCACCCTCTCTGGAGCCCCTCTAGAAAATCGGGGGTCAGGGGGATGATGGAGAAGGAGAGGCAAGATGACGTGCAGAGCTTGTGGGAGGTTGCCCAAGGGAGCAGAGATCGGGTTCAGCACAGCACCCACTGAGCATGTCTGCTATGGGTCCTGCAGACACTCTGTATGTCCACCCCACAGGCTCATTGCGCTACAGGGACATGCCACCAACACACCCAGTGGTGACACTGTGGCCCCAGAAAGTAGGTGGCTAGGAAACCCTCTCAGCACCAAGTGCCAGCACAGCGGAGGCGAACGTTGGTGGCTGCCGGGTGCCCACCTGCCTCAGTTCCTGGAGGGCTCGCTCAGAAGGCCGAGGGGCTTCCCAGAGGTGAAGTGAGAGTGTGAGTCTGAGTCAGCATCCTTTTCGTAGGAGGGTGGAGCTGCAGAGCCAGCAGCTCTTGCTACCAGGCGGAGGAAGAGCTTTCTTGATACATGTGGCCCAGAATGAGCTGCAGATGTCCCAAAGCTAAATGGGACCTGGAACTGGGGTGGGCCTCCCTGCTCCTCCTTTCCACCTGGCCCGGCCGCTGCCTCCAGATCTCCTGGGCTGGCTAAGGAGGGCCTATCCCACCAGGCAGAGGGAATGAAGCTGGCGGCAGAGTCATGGGCAGCCGACCGTTTCTCAAACAACAGTCACATTTCGTGTGGGTTAGGAGAGGACAGTGAAAGGGCAAGGGACAGTCCACCGTCCTTATGGGACAACAAGTCCAGGGCAGGGGTGCAGAGAGCTGCCTTTTGAGAAGAACACACCATGTGGCATGTCCTGAGGAGAGCCCTCTCGGCCTGGCCCTTTTCAGAAGGGGCTGCTCTTGGAAAATTCTGAGGGCAATGCCTGCCACCTCCACATAGCTCACTGAGTGCCTCTGACCCAGGCCCACCCTCAGGGTCCCAGGCCGAAACCCAGACTAGTTCCCAGAGTTGGCAATGGTAAGAATGTCCCCAGGTCACCCCCGCAAAAGCCTGAGATAAGAACCAACTCCTCCTCAGAAGGGAAGCCACCGGGACTGCAAAGCCAGAAAAGGAAAAGGCAGCTGAGGCTCCCAGCATCGCCTTCAGCCCGCACACAGCACATGCTCTTTGCTGAGCTGAACCCAGCTCTGAGGACCCGGACGAGAGTGCCGTCATCATTTCAGTGATACCCCACTCTCCCCCTGGGACTTGGGGGGAGGGGGTCAATACTCCATGGTAGCCACTCTATCCTGCACCCACCTGGCTGTTTCAGCCATTCAGTTGCCTAAACCCCGAGGGCAGCTAGGAGGCCAGACTCCAGTAGTCGGTCATGGCGCTGTGACTCAGTGCCCTGCAGCCTGCAAACCGAGGGTGGGGGAGTAGCCAGACTCACATCTGCTCGAGGAGCCCATGGGGCACTGAGTGTCCGTCCCGCAGCTGTGTGCAGAGAGCTGCAGAGCAGCAGCCTGTGACACCACGAAGGGCTGGAGCTGAGAGCAGACAGGAGGAGCCCAAGTCAGGGGGACCTAGGGTGTGGGCAGGTGTCCCGGGGCCTGGGCACATGTGCCCACAGGAACGTTTGGGCCAGGCGTGGGGGCTCACAGTGGCCCCCACAGACTCACCTGCAAACACAGCTCTCTCTTTACCTTCCTTGCCACACAGATTCCATATGCTTAAAACAAACCTGGGTGGTCTGTCACTTGCTGAAGGACCAACCCAGCCGGTCTGGCCCTAAGGGAACAGAACAGTACCCAGGTGGTTTGTCACAGTGATGCGCACGGCTGGCTCACAGCTGCTCTGGAGAGCGCTGTCTGGGACCAGGCAGAACCGAGCAGACACCAACTCTCTTCAGTGACAAAATACAGACAATAGGAAGAGTTCACAGCTTAGCAAAGACAGCTTTCTTATCTTTTGTCAGAACCTCAGGTGATTCTGGACCTTGGAGGGTTAGGGAAGGCGGGTTGAATATACAATGCAGGGAGTAAAGAGGGAAATTTTCCCATTAAAAAAAATAACTATGAAGCCTAATGAGAAAAAGCCAGTGACAGTAACAGCAAGGAGGGGGGAAATACTGTGAACAGCATAAACTCTGGCACATTTCCTAAGAAAAATCCATCCAGAAAGAGGCGTGTCCCTCCTGTACACAGTCACGCAGCTGAGGACAGAGCCGAGCTGTCGCATGCAGGGCAGCGGGGCTCTGAGCTCTCAGCTGCCCGCTGCTCCAGGAGCCGCTGTGCCCGGGGCGCGGGTGCAGGTGTGGAGAAGGGAGGAGACGCAGTGGCTCCCTCATCCCCGTCATTCACAGGCGGGTCTTGCTGGGACAGCGAGGTCTCTGAGAGCAAAGCGAGGTGACACGATTCACACATGGAGACTCAGCTTTTGGGACGTGCACCCCTACAGTTTCGTCCCCTGCCCCACCGAGTCTCCAGGGGCTGCGCGGGGAGGTCTCCCTCTGAAATGTACTGGGAATGGGGCTGCCTCCTTCCCAGGCACCGCCGTGAACATCAGCAGGACAGTGTAGCAAGTCTCGGACTGCAGGATGAAACAGGGACAGCTCAGTCTGACACGCAGCATGTGAGCTCTGGAAAAGGAAGGGAAAAGGGTCAAAGTTAAATGAGGCCTGAAGGTGGAGGCAAAGTGAGAGGCAGGATGGAATCAGCCCTCCCACCAACATCGCGACCTCTGAGGACAGAAGGGTGGGCAGGAACTGAATGGCTCACGGGGTGGGTTAAGGCTGGACCAAAGGAAACTTTCATTGAGGCCAAGAAAATATGGGAATAACACTGAAGTACCTTAAAGCTGGGTTTTGGACGGGCAGAGTCAGTCATCAATGGCAAGTGTCTATGTGCTCGCCAGACTGAAGCCACAGGACTCTGTGACTGACGCTGAGGGACATGGACCACCATGGGCTGGAGGAGGCACAACCAGGTCCGAGATGACCGGAATTAATCATAATGATGAGGGCACTCAGACGCCAGGAACACGATTTTTTGTAGGAGAGGAATGAACCTCAGACGCCCAAGGTACCACAGTGTCCCTCACCCTCGTCCTCTCCACTTCCCCGAAGACCTCAACTCTCCTGTCCCAGAGCTGGGCACCAACACTCTCGGTAGCAATGAGTAAATGAAAAGCAGACGTGGCCGGAAACCACACATCACTGTCTGGATTATCAGTGGGTTGTGGAACCTTTCGCTTGGTTAGTAGGAAGGTGTCTAGGTGGGAAGCAGGGTGTGTTTGCTGAGATGGGATCAGGTGATCCTGCCAAGGTGGCCCTCAGATAGTGTCCCATCACACACGCCACCTGCCACCAGGAGAGGACACAGGGCCGCTCTCCTTCACAGCCTCCCGCCACCCCGAGGAAGGTCTGCAGGATGAAGCAGAACCGCACCTCCACCGCATGAGCTTTTCTGGAACAGGGGAGGTGTAGGGACACAGCCTGGTGATTGGTAGGGCTCAGCAAACGTGTTCGAAAAAGACACAGATAATTCCGTTTGGGACTCAGGCTAACCTTCGCTTTATTAAGCCTCCTACAGATTAGGTAACAGACTTATTTAACTTTGTACCAGAACCTTGCCTGGGTGAGAAAGGTTAGGAACTCGCTCAAGGTCACACAGTGAGTAAACTAAGGAGTTGGGATTTGAACCCAGATCTTTCTGAGTCAGGCCAAGTTTTTCCTATTACACCAAACTGACCATTCTCCATCTAGCACACTGTCCTCTTTAGGGTCTAAATTAAAAGTTATATATGTGTCGCTATGTCTCAGAAACCTCTCTCTCTCTATATTTTTGAGGGAGGGTTGGGGGGGAAGAGGCAGGCTTCTGTCACTCATTCATTTGTCCAAACATCAGCGGAATTGAGCCAACTGCCAGAAGAGCCACTTGTAGTAGCTCCCCGAGTGCCTGGCCTGCCACGGTCAACGGTGCTTTCATCCATTTCCACTAAACTCACCTGCTCCGGTTCGGAAAGCAACGCCCTCCCCCCAGGAGCTAGGTCCCTGGCACCCAGGTTCACACCTGCCTTCTCCACAGTGGCCAGGGCTTTCCGCTGAGATATGCCAGCTCTCTGCATCCCTGGCTGAAGAACCCCGGTGCTCAGCACCTGCCCTTGTACAGCTATCGCTTCGCTCCCCGTGCTGCTAGCTGTGTGGTTCCCCCACCCCACTGCATTTCTTGAAGCAAGAATGTGAGCCACACGCAGGGACCCAGACCCTGAGGCCCCCAGAATGGAAGAACTGGCTGAGGCCCCGGGAAAAAATCTACACGAATTCTCCAGTCTCGTTCCTACACGATGAACTACAAATCATTTCCTGTTTTGTTGATCAGTTCTCAAATGCACTACATCTGCTGCTTTTGTCTATATTAACCCTGATTCACGAGCACTTAGTTTGCTTTCCACAAAATTGTCCCTATGGGTTTGACTACTCACAAGTACTTGGAGTCCATGAACTTGAAGATTCCGCATTCTAACCAACCAAGGCAGCGAAAGCAACCCCTTTCAAGGCTTCCAGCTGCTGCCTTCTCAGCTAAGTTCCCTCCCTTCCAACACCCAGAGGAGAAACCACCAGCAGATTCGGGAGGGTGGAAAACAGATAAACGAGTGATACCAGACCAGACGAGAAGGCTACACACCTGACGCCAGCAGAGTGGAAAGCCCAGAACCTACTTTGCCCAAAGAATACTCAAAGGCTCAGGAACTGACATCAGGTAACTCTGGAAGGGAAACTGAGGCAAAGGAGGTTACATGAAGGCCGTCTGAGAGGCGGCTAGAGCCCTAGAAGTTCTCCCGACTACATACCCCCAGGCAACTGCCGACCTGCCACAGGTTTGCATGTTTATTCGCTGAAGAGGACTGAGCAGAAGGTCTCAAGTCTAGGGGACACCAGAAAGCCAAGCACGGTTGAGGGCAGGGTGACCAGTTCCCAAACTGAGAGGTCAGGTGAGTGGATGTACTGGACTGTGAGAGACCTCCCGCCTTCTCCCCACTGAGCCCCCAGGATGCGGGCAGCCAAACCTTTACCCTCGGGGAAGAGGTGGTGCAGTGATCTGAATGTTTGTGTCCCCCCGCCAAATTCATACGCTGACGTCCTAACACCCATGTGATAAGTATCAGGATGCCGGGCCTTTGGCAGGAGTGCAGGTGATGAGGGCAGAGCCCTCATGAATGAGACGCACGCTCTTGTAAAAGAGGCCTCAGAGAGGTTGCAGCAAGAAGTCGGCGGTCTGTGAGCTGGAAGAGGGTCTTCACGGGAACCCAGCCATGCTGGCACCCTCATCTTGGACTTCTCAGCCTCTAGAACTGTGAGAAATAACTTTCTGTTGTTTATAAGCTACCCAGTCTATGGTACTGTTGTGTTGCAGCAGCCTAACCGGACTGAGATAGATGGGAAGAATCTTTTCTGGGGAATCTGAGCAGCCCATGGGAAAAGACCTAAAAATCCCGGCACTGGCGTGTCCAGTAAACAGCCCGTCGATCACCACACTGTGAAGTGCTCCACGGGCTCCACCCACAAGTGGGAGCACGGCTCTTTCAACCTGATGTTAACCTACTCCTGAACATTACCAGACGACAGGAGGGCACCAGAAAACACCTTCTGATACACACGTTAGCAACCAAAACAAAGGACAAGAGAAAGAAATTGGACGAAACAGACTCTTCATGGAGAAAACTTAAAAAACAAAAAGCGCTATCATGAATATCCTCAGAGAGGTAAGAAAAGATAAGTATCCATGAAACACAAAAAAGGGTGCCATTAAAATTTTTTTTTGAGAGAAGCAGGTTGAAGCCCATAAAAAGAACTGAGGAGTTCTGCTTCCTATCACGATGGGCTAATTTCTATTAAACTAACTCTCTAGTCAATAATGGTGATAAACTCTGAATAAGATATATATAAAAAAATTGTTTGAAGGGACTGAAGAGCAACCAAAGTCAAGCAAAAACTGGAGCAGACACTTGAAAAAAAGTGAGACTAGGGGAGGTCCGCTCAGCTGGCCTTGCCCTTGGGGGCACTCCCACACAGGACAAGAGGAACATGCTCACACAGAAAGCTGCAGTCTAGCTGGGACGAGGACCTTCAGGGAGCAGTCAGAGCTCAGGGCTGCCAGTGCAACCGGAGGTGGAGGGAGGCGACCCTGGACAGGAGGCACAGAAGCTGGGAGCCCCGACCCTACACACACGCTGCCCTCAAATCACTGGAGGACTTTTGAACTCCGCGTGTACGGCTGCAACTCCAAGGAGCCCAGCGGAAAACCTCCGCCAAAACACTGAGTGGCAATGTCAGCTGCTGTCCAGTGCTGGGGACAGAGTTTAGAATTCAGGTTCTTCAGAGTGAGAGGGAGCTGGGCCAACCATTTGTTTTTTTCCATTGATATCTCATGGGACTAAGAGAAAAACTCAAATAGACCAGACCTGATAAAGCTTTAAACTATGCCTCTGCATAATCAAGGTGATCTGCCGATTGGTTGCTTGCTAGAACCAAACTGAACACTCTGCAGAAGAAAATAACAGAACCCAGAGTCTCTACACTTTACAACCACACTGACCAGTGTTCATCAAAAATTATTAGACCTGAGAAGCAGGACAATGCAGTCCATAACCAAAAGAAAAAACAGTCATTATTAGATGATTAATGGATGATTCGGGTGTTAGAATTAGCAGATATGGACAAACTGTTTACTGTAAGTATGTTAAAGAACCTACAAAAATATGGATACGAGGGTTGATGAGACGATGTATCTTAGGACGTATATAAAAGAACTAAATTGAAATCCCAAAACTGAAAAAGTACAAAATCTGAAATGAACAATTTGTTGAATGGGACTAACAGCAGATTCATTCTACAACAGAATCGGTGAACTTGAAGACAGATCTCTAAAATTTGCTCAAATTGACAAAGAGTACATACTATATGACTCCATTTGTAAAAATTCTAGAAAATGTAACCTCCTCCATGGCGACCAGAAGCCAGTCAGTGGTCACCTGGGAAGCAGTGGGGGTGGCGGGAAGGAAGGGAGAAACATCTTGTAAAGGGGTACGAGAACATTTTTGAGAAAGATGTATGAGCTTATTATCTTGATTGTAGTGATGGTCTATACATACATTAAACCTACCAACTTGTATATTTTAAAATGCGTATCGTTTCCTGAATGCCAATCATGCCTCAAAAACGCTATTTTAAAAAGAAATGATCATGGAAAATGGCCCTATAGGGCTCGTAAGAAATCTGTATTTGAACAACATGTGCTGCCTTTAAAGATGCTGTAAGAATCGTTGTTCTATGTTGAGTTTAACAAACAGAAAAGTTCATTTAAAAAAAACTAAAAACAAGAGAAAAGAAAACTGGTATGATCATAGTAGCATCAGACAAAACAGACTTCAAGACAAGGAGGATTAACGGAGAGTAAGAGGATTATTTCATACTGATAAAAAAGTAAAAATGACAGCCCAGCCTGGTGTGGCTCAGTTGGCTGGGCGTCATACCGCAAAACCAGGGGTCATGCCTGGGTTGTGGGTTTGGTCCCCAGTTGGGGCACTTACGAGAGGCAACCAATGACAATTCTCTCTCACATCATGATGTTTTTCTCC